ACCTTGGACATTAAGATCGAAGAAAGGCTGGGTGTGGTAGCACATACCTATAATCTCAGCACTCCAGGAGGCTGAGACCAGAAGATTGCAGAGCCCAACCTGGGTGATTTAGTGAGACCCTGTCTCAGAATAAAAAATAAAAAAGGGCTGGGGATGCAGCTCAGTGGGAAAGCCCTGGGTCCAGTACACTGGCCTCTCCAGTAGTCCTGCCCATCCTCCAAGTAATCAGGATGTGTGTGTGAGGCTCAGGCAGGTCTGCTGGGCAGAGGAAACAGTGCAGGACCTGAAGGGAGAGGTCATAGGGCCCCGAGCTTGGGCTTCTGCATGTGCTCCAGGAAGTGGCCTTTAAGGTGGTGACCTAAGCTGTTTTGCCTAAAGATGGTCTTTGAAAGCTTAGAATCTGCTTCTTCATTTGAAGGTCACCTCATCAAGAGGTTAATTCATGGGCCGGGGATTTAGCTCTGGTCTCACAGCCTGCTGTGCAAGCACAAGGGCCCAAGTTTGATCCCCGGTACAAAAAAAAAAAAGAGGTTAATTCATGGGTTTAGAGGATTTGGGTGTGGCTGGGCCTGGAAAGGAAAAAAAACCCCCAAACCCTAAAACCCCCATGGAGGATGAAGGAGGCTGGGGAGGGAAGATACGGAGGATGAGGACCTTGTGTCCTGAAGCTGCAGGTTTCTTGCAGTACAATTTTAAAACAAGTTTCCCTTCTCTCCTTTCTACCTGTCTTTATTTCTCCTATCTGACTTCATCCTTCTAGCCTTTCCACAACCCATCAAACGGAGAGGACTATCATTCTACCATTTTGCGATGAGGAACGATAACTCTGGGGTTCTAAAGGATTCCTTTCCATAAGGTTATGGAGGAAGTTGGGTGAAGATACAAATCTCAAACACAGCTCTTCTGACTGACAGTGTACTGAATGCCCTTGTTTGTTTCGGTCCCGAGATGAAACTCCAGACGTTGCGTTTGCCAGGCAGGCTCGGTGCCACTGAGCTACATCCCCAGCCTTGTTTTTTGAGACTCACTATGTAGTTCAGGCTGATCTTTTGGTTGTTGTCATTGTTTTTGTTTCTTTGTTTATTTTTTGAGACAGGGTCTTGGTATGTAGTTCAGGCTGGCCTTGAACTCACTAAGTAGCCCAAGCTGCCTTGAATTCATGATAATCCTCCTGCCTCAGCCTCCTGAGTGCTGGGATTTCAGGTGTGTGCCACCACCCTAGCTGATAGTGACCCATCAGCTCTTCATTGTCTATTGTGTAATCAATGGTGTAGTGGAAATAAAAAAGATTTATAGATTCAGATCAGAACCTTGCCTATAAGTGACAGTATCACTGTCAGTTGGCAAAGCTCTAAAACTGTCAAGTGGATCCTGGTCTCTGATGCCTCTAAGCACCTGTGTGATTATATTTTATCAGACAGTAACAGACACCCAACTCAAGGGAACCTAATCAGAGAGGGAACTTTATTGGCTCATGAAATCCAAGGAAAGGTTGACAAAATCAGGCATCAAGAAAGGCCAATTGCCAGGGAGATGGTATGAACAACTGACCCAAGGGCCTCCAACCTTGTTAGGAAGCTTCCAGAACTTTTCTTTGTTGCTTTCTGCCTGGCAACTAGTTACCCTTTCTCTTACTGCTAACCAGTTTTCTCTACAGGCCGGAAACATGCTTACAATGCTTCTGCATTTAGATTTAATGCTTTAAACAAAGAAGAAAAAAAGCTGAGCGAGGATGTTGGCACATACCTGTAATTTCAGCATTTGGGAGGCTGAGGCAGGAGGATTGTCAACCTTTAGTCCCACTTGGGCAATTTAGTGAGATCCTGTCTCAAAGAATAAAGAAAGGGCTGAGTAGCTCAGTGTGAAGGCCCTGGGTTGTTTTGTTTTGTTTTTGAGCAAAACCTTTGTTGGTACTTTTGTTGGGTTTTTTTGTTTGTTTGTTTTTGGTACAGGATCAAACTTGGGACCTTGGCTTGCTTCCCCTTCCTTCCAGTTTGAGACAGGACGTGGTAAATTACCCGGACTGACCTCAAACTCTCCTCCCTCCTGCCTCAGCCTCCTTGAGTACTAGTGTAGGTCAGAAGGGACCCCTGGGGAAGGTTAAAAGACCTGAGCCCTTTTTAGAGGGTAGAAAATGCAGGCTCTGTGTGGCTATGAGCAACAAGCAGTTTCCAAGCAGCATTGTGGTTTAGAGCTGACAGTTTGTGGTGCTGACACCTGGCCCTCCTAGTGCAGGCTGCCATGCCTGCCCAAATTCTCTTTAGCCCACAAGACCAAACCCCTAGCAACAAGCCCAGTGTCCAGTTGGCCAAGTGTGGACCCTCAAGGAGTAAAGACAAGACTCCTATCTATTCCCCATCCTGTGGCAGTAGGATATGGAATCAGAGGAGGAATTTAGGGACAGTGAGAAGGGGAGACAGGCAGAGATGCAGGGCATGGCTAACATAGCACAGCCTGTGGCAGACAGCTATAGAATTACTGGACATTACCCTTTGTGAAACCTTTAGTGGTGTGAAACAGCTATTCTTTAACTCTTAATAAAAGACTCATCTTTGTACACTGGAACCCCCCTAAAACTCCATAAACCTTAGCCCACCCAAGCAACAAGCTCACCCCAGCAAGAAAGGCTAAGATCCTGACTGGCTGAAAACCCGTATAAAAAATGGGCAGAGCAAGGACACCATCCGGAAGGGCTCACTTTTGAGCTCTCCCTGCCAACCAAATTTGTTGCTGGACTGCTTTGTCCTGCCTTGGTAATGCTATAAGTAAACCTCTGCTTCACACCAAGTGTGCTCTCTGAGTTCCTCAGTCTGCTCCCCTAGGCCTGCCTCAGAGGCCCGGAGGATCCCACGCTTTGAGTCAGCAGTGCTCCGCCCTTGCATTCCTGGCCTGGGTGAGAGCAGACAACGAGAGGGCTGGCCTCAGAGAGCCCTTGGTCTCCTTCTTCTCACCATCTGTGGCCTTCCTAGAGTGTGAGTGCCTTTCTATAAGACACAGCAGGGATGGGCTAGTATCTGCATGTAGACCGGCGTTTAAAGGAAACAGCTTAAGTTTTCCTAGTCCCAAAATCTCATTCAAATCTCTCCCCTTTCCTCCATCCCCTGCATCGGCCCCAGAGGCCCTCCTCAGGCCCTCAACCTCTGGCATCTGATTACTGTAATTGCCTTCTAAATATTTGCCTGGGTTTCAGTCTCTGGCTTCTAGCAGTTCATCTGATTTCCTTCCCAGTTATCTCTCCAAAATTCGGATGAGGTAGTCTAGGAGGGCTCCCAATAGCTGCGTGTGGCCATGGATGCCTGAGGCTGAGGCAGGAGGATCACTGCGAGTTCGAGACCAACCTGGGCTACAAACACTCCCTATAAAATGAAAGCCCTAGCTTGGAATTCAAGGCTTTACAATCCAATCCTACCCCTCCTTTCTAGCCCCATTTCTAATTTTAGTATATGTGCTGCTGAAGCCAGCACTCTAGCCCCATTTCCAATCACCCTTCCTACCCTGTGTCATATGCACTGTTACTTACCAAATATATCTTTGCTTATTTCTATTTCCTGTCTTTGTTCATTTTCTCTTCCTAAGAAAGACTTAGAGTGTGTTTTTCTTTTCTTTCTTTCTTTCTTTTTTTTTTTTTTTTTTCAGTACCAGGGATCAAACTCAGGACCTTGCGCTTGCAAGGCAGGCGAAGTGCCACTGAGCTAAATCCCTGGCCCTTGTGTGTGTGTTAATTAGGATGGAACCCAGGGCTTTCACACTGAACTACATCCCCAGCTCTTATTCACTATTTTGAGACAGGGTCTTGCTGGGCTCAAACTTGTGATCCTCGTGCCACAGCCTTCCAGAATGCTGGGATTACAGGTCTGTGCCACCATGGTGGGCTCCAGCCTTCTATTTTTTGAGGCAAGGTCTTGCTAAATTGCCAACTGGGATTAAAAGTTGGGCTCTTCCTGCCATAGCCTCCCAACTGTTAGATTTTTTTCTTTCTCTAACCACAGCTTATCAAAAGAGGAGGAATCAATAATTTTCTCTGGGAAGTTAAAGTATTTCTAATGAGGCAAGGGCATGGGACATTTTCCAGCCTTTTTCTTGGAATTCGCTCAAATTTGTTAATTATAGACCTACACCTTTCCCGAAATAACTTTCTAGAATTAGAGTTCACACACTTTATAATAAAAGTGTTCTCTCTAGCAGTCGTTTGTTACTTGTGAGACAGAAATTAAGCTTCTAAATCAGCCCAAATCAAACTGGAAATTTGCATACTACATTCCACACTGGTTCCATTTCTTCTGTGCAACTCTGCGGAGTATGAAAATTGATGAAGCTGACACGCATAATCCAGAATACCTGTGCTCCCTTCACATACACTAAAGTAGCTGATAAATGACAATATTTTGAATTTAAAGGCAATTGGTCCCGCCGACCCCAGCCTCAGCTGCTCATTTGACAGGTTACGCATCCTGGCTCAGTTCTAGTATCTAAGTATCTATGGCCAATCTTGCCACCCCTGGGCAATCGGCACGTGGCTTTCCGGACATCAACCATCCCAGGCAGCTCTGTAATTACTCGTTAATGACCAGAGTCGCACGGTGGCCTCCATTCATCATTCACTACTTGACTCTGTACCAACAGGATGTCTGGCAGCTTGGTCACCCGTGCTGCTCCCCCACCGGGATCGCGACCTTTCCGAGGCTGCGTAGGGCAGAGGGAAGCGGACAACACCAGCGCGCTCCGGTCGGGTGCAGTTGAAGCGGGACAGGCCAGGTCCTGCTCTCGGGACTCCGCGCCGCCTGGTGGCCGCACCTCGGAAGCCTCCGGGCGGGGCGAGGGGCGTGCGCGTGGAGGCGGCGGGGCGGGGCGCGCGCGTGGAGGCGGTGGTGGGGCGGGGCGCGCGGCCTGTGGCGCCGTCCCCGGCCGACTCGGGCGGGTGGAGCGAGGAGGCGCAGCCGCGCCGGGGGCCGGGCGCGCTGAGACGGTTCCGGGCTGCGCTGGGGCCCTCGCGCCCTGCCGCGCGTCCGGTCGGCATGTCGCTGGGGCCGCGCCTGGCCCGGCTGGCCGGCTGGCTGCAGGAGCCGCAGAAGGTGGCCCGCTTTCAGCGGCTGTGCGGCGTGCAGGCGCCGCCGCCCCGCGAAGCTGAGGCGGCCGAGGCGCCCTCGGCCAGAGCCCCCCGGCGCCGAGACGCGAGGTCGCGGCCCGCCAAACCCGGGGACGGCAGCGGCGGCGCCCCCAACGGCGTGCGCAACGGGCTGGCGGCCGAGCGGGGCCCGGGCGCGGCGCGGATGACGGGCGCCCAGCGCCGCAACTCGCTGACTGGCGAGGAGGGCGAGCCGGCGCGCGTGAGCAACTGGCCGCTTTACTACCTGTTCTGCCTGGGCACCGAGCTGGGTAACGAGCTCTTCTACATCCTCTTCTTCCCCTTCTGGATCTGGAACCTGGACCCCCTGGTGGGCCGCAGGCTGGTGATCGTCTGGGTGATGGTCATGTACCTGGGCCAGTGCACCAAGGACGTGATCCGCTGGCCGCGGCCCGCCTCGCCGCCCGTGGTCAAGCTGGAGGTGCTGTACAACTCCGAGTACGGCCTGCCCTCTACTCACGCCATGTCCGGCACCGCCATCCCCATCGCCCTGGTCCTGCTCACCTACGGCCGCTGGCAGGTAAGGACCTGCCGCCCCCGGACCCCGGCTCCCCACGGTACTCGGGGGCGCGCCTTCCCCTCCGCAACCCCTTTCCCGGGACCTTCTCGGTACCCGCCGACCAGCCCCTGCCGGGTTTAAAAAAATTGAGATGGAGAAAGCCTAGAAACTTAGCCAATAAATCATACATTCCTAGCAGTGCCTTTGTTAGAATCCAAACGCTTTTGATGCAGGAATACATTCTCACTGGACTTTGAGTTTTTAAACTGTCCTCATTCTTATGATGCACAGTGCAAGTGGATCTCCCTTAAAATCAGTCACTTGTTCTAAGACCCAGTTTTACTGAATATGGGGTGGCTTCCCCAAAACAGATTCGGTTTCAGGCTGAGGTAAAGTCCTCAGCTTTCCTGGGAGACGGTGTTTACAAAACCGCAGTGTAATTCCAAAGCAAACATGCTGGTTGTAAGCGATGAAAGGAGAGATTTTCAACAAAAGCTGCCCTTTTTGGGGAAAGTTAATGGAGCAGTGTCTAAGCGAGTTTGTTTTTAAGGGATGTGGTTGCTAATTTGCTGATAGACTCAAAGTTTAATTATCTCCTGGATCACTGATCTGTGGTATTGGTTTTGAGCTGTCACGGTATTATTGCCTTAACTGTAAAAGTGCATAGTTTTTCTTTTTCTTTCTTTCTTTCTTTCTTTTTTTTTTTTTGGTACCAGGGATTGAACTTGGGACCTTTCGCTTTTGAGGCAGGTGGTGGAACCACTGAACTAAATCCCTGGCCTTTAAAAGTGCATAGTTTAACTATTCTCGTAGCTAGGGTTAGACCGTTGGGTTTATTAAAAGGGCCAATATGACCGCAGGATCAATCTTACAATAAAGGATGAGTGTTTAATAGTGATCATTTTTATCTTACCTACTTCCACTGGTCCTCCCCAATTCTGAGTTCTCCATGGTCCACATATGTTACATCGTTTTAGAAACTAATTATGTTTCATATTATGGGAGCATGTTTATTCTTAGACTGCTGGGCTTGCTTTATCTGTCTTAAATTGTAAGATTTGTTAGCCTTGCAGACCAGTCTCTTGAAAATAAAACATAATTGTGAAGACTCTAAGGAAGCTGACTTTCTCTAAGTTTTTCTTTTGCTGCAAAATCTTATTTTAAATTGAGAAACATTCTATGTAAAATGCTATTATGATACACTTGCTTAGCCCACATTCAGTTGCAGCATAGATAAAATCTTGTCGCTGTGGATAGTTCTCTGTCCTCTCTCTCAAGTAACAAAGTGTGTAACGTGCAGAGTTAAGAATGGCAGAATTAAGAGCGAACAGCGCCGCCGATAGTCTTTCACTGTGTAGCCAAAGGAGATGTACAGTGACCCTCAGGTTGTAAAAAAGGGCTACCTGTTTTGCTTAATAAATATCTCAAAATTTTTATATAATCTGTTTTCTCTGCAGTACTGAGGGTTGAATCCAGGGCCTCCCAAATGCTAGGCAAGCACTGTTTTTTTTTTTTTTTTTTTTTTTTTTTTGGTACCGCGGATTGAACTCAGGACCTTGTGCTTGCAAGGCAGGCATGGTACCACTGAGTTAAATCCCCAGCCCAGGCAAGCGCTCTTCTGAGTTGTATCTCCAATCCTTTTGCTTTTTAAAAATTTTACTTTGAGACAAGGTATCTCTTTGTTGCCAGTCTGGCTTTGAACTTGGGATCCTCCTGCTTCAGCCTACTGAGTAGTTGGGATTACAGGCATATGCTATCATTTAATCTAAGTATTTCAGAATTTAATACTGTCAGTCAGCTGTATTTAGCATTATGTTTACTCGTTAGCTGAAGATGTTTCTCTTAATTTCATGAGACTTTTGGGATTTTAAGATTGGGAGGCCTAATGCCTCTTCAGTGAGTAGTTAGGTCATATTATTATTAGGAATGTTTAGAAGACAGTTATGTGTTTGTTCCTCATGTATTCACAACACATGCTAATAGGAAGTCTGAAAATAGTACTTGTAAATGGGAGGTATCTACCACTATTATAACATTTCAGGGTAATTTGAATGATCAGGTTAAACTTACTTAAACCAATCTGTATTTAATTCAAAGCTTGAAGAATTTGTGTAGCATATAGTTTTAGAAATTTGAGCTAGACAGGATGTTAGAAAGCACATGTATCAGTCATTTTACAAATGTAGGAATTGCCTAGTTACATTGGAATTAATTTTATAATGACTTAAATTTTTTTGTTTTGTTTTTTAAGACAGGATCTGGCTATGTAGTTAAGGCTGGCCTGAACTCACTATGTAGCCCAGCCAGGCCTCCTACTCTGTAGTTCTCCTGCTTCATCCTCCAAAGTGCTGGAATTATAGGTGTGCACCACCATGGTTGGCTGTGGCTTAAATTTCTGGTTTTTCTTTTCACTCTAAATTTGAATAAACTTCTAAATTTGCATAACTGTTGATTTTTTTCTACATTGTTTTGAAAGAAAACCTTCTTTTTTTTTTTTTTTGGTACCGGGGATTGAACTCAGATCCTTGTCCTTTCAAGGCAGGCGGCGGAACCACTGAGCTAAATCCCCAGCCCTTGAAAGAAAACCTTCTTTTATAAAAGTTCTACCTTTATAAATGTTTAGCTGTAATCAGTACACAAACCAAAATGATTTTTTTGCTTTTTTACTTTCCTTTAAGTCCTTGTTATATATTGGTCAACTTGTTTGGTCCTCTTTGTCAGTGTTTTACTACTTTGGAGGCTTCTCTTTACAGGGTGGGTAATGAAAAAACTATCAGAAACTCTCAGAGAATTAAACAATGAAAGCCTGGTGCCTTTCTAACCAGCTCCCACCTTGGTGGCTGATCCTGTCCATTACCGCGCTGCAGCTGCGTGGTCAGGAGCGATGTGGTGCTGTTCCGTGTCCAGGATGTGGACATCCCTCCCAAAGTTGAATCACCTCTCCTCTCCTGCTGCTCCCCTCCTCACTGAATGTCCCACCCTCCTTGAAACTTGTTCAAGAGTCACCACCTATGTGGAGCCTTTCAAAGTGACTTTTTGTTTCTTTTTCTTTTTTGTGGCACTGGGGATCCAACCCGGGTCCTTGCGCTTGCAAGGCAGGTGGTGGAACCACTGAGCTAAATCCCTGGCCCTGTTTGATTATTTTTTTGCTTACTCTTAAAGTGACAGCATACCAAAAAAATTAACGGGGTTAAAGTACAAGTTTCTGTACCTTAATCCTAGAGATTCTGATCCGTTAGATGTGTAAGGAGCTTTGTATTTTGCTGGAGGAAGTTCCTCAAAGATTAGGACTCCTCTTAGCCCCTTAGAATATATCTTCCATTTAACAAAGCTTTTGTACATGGGGAGGGGAGGGTTACGAGGGGAGGGTGATGGGAAAAAAGAGGTGGGATGTACCTTGTACAGGTGCAAATTCCGTATGAGTGTTATCATTATGTATGCCTAAAATGTACCAGTAAATGTGCTATTAAAAAAAAGAATATATCTTCCATTTCTTCAAAATAATCTTTCTTCTTTTGAGACAGGGTCGCTGTGTAATACTATGGTGCTATGTTATCTTGCCTCTCAGTTATTTTACATTACTCTGTCAGATGCAGCCACACTGGGTGTGGCAGCAGTGCCTGTAGTCCCAGCTACTTGGGAGGCAGAGGCAGGAAAATCACTTGAATTCAAGTTTGAGACCTTCCTGACCATCCTGGGCAACAGTGAAACCCTGTCTCTAAACAATGCAACACAAGACTAAATGTATTTGAATTTTATTTATTTAGTAAATGATAGCACAGTATTATTAAAGGTGGGAAGAGAGGGCTGGGGATTTAGCTCGGTGCTGCTGCCTGCTTCGCAAGGGTAAGGTCCTGGATTTGACCCCCGGTACCAAAAAAAAAAAAGGAAAAGAAACAGGCTCTGTAGAGCAAGTCTGGGCCATGTAAAAGTAGGAAAAGAAGTATACCCTATAGTATGAGGGTGGGGAATTTTAACAGATAATATGAAATTGCCCTTTATAAATACTGTACCTATTTGCATTCCCGCCATCAATATATGACAGAACCTGTTTTCCTATGCTGTAGGCTCACAGTTGTAGTAATATATTGTGAAACTTACTGATCTTTCCCTTAGATAATTTTAATTATTTAATTTGCATTTCTCTTATCAGTGAAGAGCTTCACATAGGTTTACTGGCCTTTTATATTTCCTTCTTTTGAACTGCCCATTCTCTGCTTTTTCTGTTAGATTGTTGGTGTTTTATTTATTGCTTTTTTTAAAGTATACTTTTCCTTTTAAGTAATACTCTACCATTTCATGTGTGGCATAAAAACCTTGTAAAAACCAGGCTGACTTCAAACTTGCAGTTACCTTCCTGCCTCAGCCTCCCAAATACTGGAATCACAGGTGTGCACCACCTCGCCTGGCCTGGCTTGTGTAACTTCTTAAAGAACTTCTTTTCACGTATTTTCTAGTGTAAATCTGTGAGCACTGATGCTTTCTTAGGTTTTTATTGGGGACACAGGGTCACTGCATCATTATTAAACTACATTCCCAGGCCTTTTAATTTAATTGTATTTATTTAAAAACTACTTTTGAGGTAGGCCAAGTGTAGTCACTAAGTTGGCCAGGTTGGCTCAGACTTGCCTCCTGCCATAGCTTCCCAGCGTGCTGCCATCACGGGTGTGCACCACCACGGCCGGCTCATTCCGCGTCTTTATTGTGGTGCTGGGGATGGAAACCAGGGCGTTTGCGCTCAGTCCCACCCCAGCCCTTTTTCAGCCTTGGTAAGTCGCGGGCCGCCTTTGACTTGCTTCCCACCCTCGGGTCAGTCTCCTAGTTGTCGGGATTGTAGGCAGGTGCTGACGCGAGCGACTGCCTGACTAGCTTTTTCCTTTTCCTTTCTTCAGTACTGTGGATTGAACCCAGGGCCTTTGTACTCAGCTACAGTCTCAGCCCTTTTCTATTTTTTGTTATTTTTATTTTTATTTATTTACTTTTTGTTTTGAGGCAGGGTCTAAGTCATCCAAGCTGGGCTC